ATTTGCCTCTTTAAAAAGATAGAATTCTCCTAATACCATTTCAAATTCAAAACAAAAGTATTACAACTAACAAAATTAAGAGAATGAAACAAAAAGACCTCCCCAAGAAAAACAAGTTTTATAAGAAAGGAGGGAAGAAATATAAAACCCAGGATGAGATAGAGAACATTCAGAACCAATAGTTTAAAAACATAAAGGGGAAAATGTCTTAAATTCTAGCTGCTCTGAGCTACTGAGCATGATGTGGAAACATCAGATCCCTGGTTCTATACAGGTTAAGAGAGCAAACTGCTCTTCAGGAGACAGGAGTTTCATTCCCAGAACCATGTCAGTCCTACAGGGGGGTGTCCAGCCCCGGGGGATCTAATTGACACCTCTGGCCTCTTGATTATGGCAAACATGATTATGTACACAGACACACACATGCATACAAAAAGTGCCGGCAGATAATAATTAGGCTTTATAATGTTAGCATCAGGTTTCAGGAATTCACTTTCTCCTCCATCCAGCTCTACTGTAGCACACGCCCAGCCAGACACACTGGAAATGCCCAACCCCTTCTGGCCCACTGGCCCAGGAGTTGACACAGAGGAAGGAGTGCACTGAGATACTGAGAAAGGAAGTTCTGCTTCTCCACAGCCTTAGAAGGACATGAAGAAAGGCAGAGTCCTGGGAAGCCCAAGAGCTTCCTCAGACTTGTCTCACCAACAGAGCTGAACATAAGAAAGAATTACTCATCGGACATTAAAATATGTATGTGGTGGGACCGGGACAAAGTATTTGCATAATGCATTGGATACATGCAAATTAAAAACCACAGTGACATGCCGCGAGCCATTACAGTGACTAAATGTTTCTTCCGTTTTTCAAGAGCCAGCTCACTTATTTCAATAATGGAACTTGAAAGTCACCCTCAGCAGGGATGAGGCAACAGTTTCCATCAACAAATCACTGTAGAGAATGTGGAAGGACGGCTGGGGTGGGCAAGGGGCGTGGCAAGCTCATGAGATTGAGATCAGCAGAGAAAGCCTAACACCCAAACCAGATGCTGGGGCTACAGCGGTCAGGGATCAGGTCCTGGAAAACTCACTATGCAGAATC